GCCTCGGGTCATTGGGGAAAATCAGTCCACGAGCTGATGTCATTCCCACCTTTTCCGTCCACAGCAGACTTCTCCAATTTTCGCTCAGGCGTCGCTCCTCGTTCGCCGCCTGCAACTAGCACATATCAGGGTGGTCGATGCAAATCGTTATTGCATATCCGCTATCGCCGAGTGCATGTAGATGTTGACGGTCTTCAGTGAGGACTACAGAGTATCGCGAGCTTGATTGCTGCTTGCTGCACCATATAATTCCAAGTGAGCGAGCGCGATGAAGTGTGCCTCCTCCACGTCAAGCTTTCCTCACTCACAGGCGCATGTTCTGGGCATTTTACCCGTGGAAGATTGCAATGCGTGACGGGGCAAAGATCTTTTTGAGCCCCAAGCTCAGGGCCCCCAAGATGAGGGAGGGGGTGTTGATAGCAGATTGCTGCGCGACCGGATGAGTGGGTGGATGCTGAGCAATGCTACCACAGCGGAATTGAGTCGATGCTGTCTATGCCGCCAAGATGCTTTCAGTAAGGTGCCTTTTCCTCCTTTGACGCCTGGTCTCCCTCAATTCCGTTCCAAATCGTCCCTCTTTCACACTCGAGCTCCTCATTGGACCCTGGCTGGTAGTCGAGGTCGCATTCGATCCCGGGATTGATATTACTGTGTGTCACGGAAATATTCTTGCTGTCGAGTTCAAACGAGGCAAGGTACCTATCTCGACGGCGGTGCGCAAAACGGACAGGCCAGCTGTGGCCACGGCTCTTCCCCGTCTTGGCTGTGGGTCAGGGTCGGTCGCCTTTAGTCGGTAGTCGGCTTCTCACGACGGAATAAACTTGTAAACCTCTTTTGAAGCACCGTTTTGGAGGCATTGTAGAAAGATGAAGCGTTGAACTGAAGTGTTGTCCTGTTATGGTTGGCCCGCATCGGTTTACATGCAGAGGCTCCTACTCCACATGAGTATATACGGTGGGAACGCATCACCACTGTCTCGATCCCGCATTACATCCCACGTTTCAACGTTTCCAGCCCGCTGGAAGAGATCCGCCGGCTAGCCTGGGGTAGGTGTTGTCACGATACATCTGTCATCTGGTCATGCTGGCGGTAGCTGTTCGAAAGTCGGCTCGTGTCCTTGCGCGGAAGCTGCGGGGAATCTGGGGTCGACTAGCAGTATCCCAAACGCTCCGCGAGGCCAAGAACGTATGTTGTTTCGTCTCATTGGAAGGTGAATTCCATGCCGTTACGCGTGCTCCAATTCCATCCATGAGGTCAACTGCTGTCAGTTGGGGCGAATGCCAGCCTTTCGACATTGTTCAAGAACTCGTCTCAAAGGCTTGCATCTATCCCATGTTTCCTCACACCCCGTAGAGTTGACGCCATCGCTGAAAGGCCAAGGGCCACCAAAGCGTCATGATGACACTGCCAACCAAGCGTAACCGTGAAGATCAAGCCCGATATCGACCTCTTCAAGAGGAGCGAGCCAAACACCACATGGCGGTCGAGTGCGGGGAAAGCTTCAGTAGCTGCAACACGCTTGGCAGCCGCGATCTATGCAAGTAACGGGGTTGCAGTCGCTGTCCGGCTTGTGGTCCGATGATGGCGCCAGGCCGGACGAACTTCAGGATGAGCTCCCAGCGCGCTCTAGAACCTGGCTTGGGGTGTTCCATGTCATGGATCTAGCGCTGCGTGTGGGCTCGTCTGCCTTTCCCCGGATCTCGTGGTCACGGTCAAGTTTATTTCCCCAGACTGCACCAGCGTCACGGTGTTGGAAAGCCGGCGACGACGTAGCCTGTCTCCACGCTGGAGTCTCCGTTCCCTTTGGCCCGTAGCGTGTCAGCCGCCATTGTTCATCATTCACGTTGGTGATCACTGATCAATGGCTGCTGAGCTCACAGCTAGCTCCGGCCCACCAGACCTCAACAGCCACCTGAAAGTCGGCGGGCCAATTCTGCGATGGAAATTACGCAGCAGAGGGTTCTGGCGCGTCTTCACTGCCTAGAATCGATGCCAGCTTTGCGATTGCTTCAAATCAGGCCGCTGCCTCGGTTTTCTGGGAGTCTCCTGTTCTGACGAACGCCGCGCCAGGTTGATTGTTATCACGCACCGCCGAGGTGGGATGCTGTTCCAGTTCGGGAGCGTTGACATCACGCCAGACCGCCCATCACTGCCCCTTTCCGCCGACACCGTGGGATGATCGGCCCACTGAGCGACATCACCTGCACAGGTGGCCGCTCTGAACATCAGCGAATTATTGTTGCCGGCGCTACGACCGGCTGGCTAATCTGTCGGACTGGCTATTTGATCTTGGACTGCCGGGCAGTTGTCGCTAGTGACTTTAGCAAGAGACGGGCTGCACGTCTTAGCAGATGCCTTGCTGAGTGACGGCGGAAAGGAAGGCGGCAAGACCGGTAGCCAGCGCGAGCGAACTGGACTGAACCCGTGTCTCAATTCCAAATGGCAGACAGATTGAGTTGGTAATGACAGCGGGGCAGGACAGCATGATGCGTATGCAACTAAACGCTGAACATCACTTCGTAGCTGCCCCTGCGACCAACCATGTTCTGAAAGAGGAGCGGTTTGAATGATTGCTCGTCTTTGAGCACCCGTGTCGCCATCGTTGGACAGACGGCGGTTTGAACTTGGTCGATGGGAGAAATCCGTGAGTTTCCTTCTTTGTCCGGCTCTTTAATCGTCGAGCCGAACAAGCCGTGGTGACACGGATTTTGACGGATAGATCATCGATGCCTAGTCCCTTGGCCCGCGATGCCAATGATTGAGGCTCGAGCGAAAGCCGAAGTCTCCAGAGAGAAAACGGCGCAGGTCAGCAGTCCGAAATGCCAAGACGCCTACCATCGCCGCTCACTCACCCCCTCCCGATCAGCCAAGGCCGCAATCGCAACGGACAAACCCTGAGCTGGTCAGCAAAATTCCGCGGAGGTCCCCTGAAAGCACACACTTTGGCGTCGTATTGCCAAGGGCTACAGGGCTCGGAACACGTTGTGCAGCGGGTCGCCCATTGCAGCCGCCCGTTTTGTGGCGTATTAGGGCGGCACCGCTGGCTGCAGGGCCCTGCACGACACCATTGAGAGGGAAGCCAAGCAACCAAGCAGCTTCCATTTCTCCGAACAGCATCCCTCTTGGGCAAGAATCGTTCCACTTGAGCATAGATCGTTGAGGGCGGATGCTCAACCTTTTGTTGCTGTTGAGGAGCCATTGCTGGCGTCGTTCCGGGCAGGGCTCCTTTTCTGCGACAAATGAAAGGTTGCCGAGGCAGATGAACTCGCTGTTAGAGAACCATCGAGGCTCGATGCCATTGCCGTCTGATGATAGGACAAGTGCTTGTAAGACGCGATGTGCAGCCGTCGCCCGATTGTCTACTTGCTCCGGGATGCCTTGTCCGGGCATACGGTCCGTTTCCTGACCCCCTACCACTTCACATCTGTCCAGTGAGCAGACGACTTCTGGAATCCTGGACTCTTTTCCAGCAGGCGTATTTATCCGTTGCTGGCTGCAGGTCTAGGGGCGGGAGTCGATGCCAAGAAGGGAGGCGCAAACGATCACCGCCGGATAACTCGGCATCAGCCAGAGGTTGAACTATACATGGACGTCCTGCAGGCTGGCGGCGTTGCGACAACACATGGTGGTATGCAGACGGTTTGTATGGCAAAATTTGGTTTCCTAGGGTGAGCTTGTAATGTTTCGTAGCGCTGATGCGCCCCTCACGGCTGGCCTGCTGACAGCCAATTTGCCAGTGTTATTTCCATTTGAATCCGACGCACGCGCTGTGAACTAGGCCTGGGCTGCCTGTCGTACAGGGCCTATGGCCTCTGCGACATGAAATGAAGATCGCCTGCTATGCCGCTGTAAGAACTTTTGCATTCTCGGTGTGCTTCATTTAAGTTGCATCTCTTGAACCCTTGAGCTGTATGGTTTTTGCTGGGCCATCTGTATCAGTTTTCAAATCCTTCCAAGATGTCCAACTGGAGTGCAGGTAGGCGGGCCTTGAGTGAGCGAGACTATTAGTTGCGTGGTTGCCTCGCCAGCTATTCTCCCGAATTGGACCTGTTCCCAATAATGACCATTTGACTCCGAACCATGTTCTTTCCGGACGAACCGAACAGGACGGGCTGTTCCAGGTGCAAGAAAACGAAAAGAGTATCCGGCCGTCGCGGAATCAAAAAATTTTTGTTCGCGACCGTACAACGTTTTAGTGAGCATTGAACGAGGGAACGGAATGCGTGATGGGGAAAAAGCAATGCGTCAAGGACAGGATTCGAACCTGCGCGACCGAAGCCACTGCCTAAACTGGTATCAGAAGAACCGATAGCAGGGCAGCCCATTAACCACTCTGGCACCTTGACCGATGGTGTATGTCTGGCCTACTCATTAGTCATACCAAGTACCGCGCCGCATCCTTCCAGGTGCACAAACTTCGCAAGACCACCTTTGTCCTCTGTCGCGATCCCGTATCCAGGTCTCCTGGCTTGGAATCTCGGACTCAAACCGGTCACACTTTTGGTGCTGTTGCGCCTAGCGAGACGTGATGCCGGAACAGAAGGCTGGAGCGGCCAAGTGCTACAGTGGAAGCAACATCGCCTATGTCCGAAGGAATCGGTCGCCCTGTCAAAGACGTGGCGTCGATAAGGTGTTCTGGAAGGATTCAGCCCCTTTGTTCGGCGACAGTGGCGTTTGTATGTTTTCACGACAATCTTCATCTTGATCCTTCACAGCAGAGATGCAGATTTGACGTGTTGGCCCAAAGGCGATACTTCAGACCACCATGCCTTCCAGACGAGGGCACTCCAACTCCCATCATGGTTGCATCCAGTGCAAGACGGGGAGAGTAAAGGTAATTGCCCCGACGATTTGATTGGGCATAGCTGACGGGCCTGTAGTGTGATGAAGGCCAGCCATCTTGTGGGCGTTGCCGCAAGAAAGGTCGGACATGCACGTACCGCCATTTGCTCGCCCCGTGTGATGCATTTGAGCGGCGACCAGCCGGCGATGCACTTCTCATGGTCCGAGCCGGGAGCTTGTCGTCGGCCGAGGGGGGGCAGGACACCTCCGAGACCGAAATTGGCGGCATCCACCGGTCGCCTCCGAGGTTCGGGGCCACGGGGTTACCCAGCTCAGATCCGACCGAGCAGCTATTACTCCACCACTACTTTGGTCATCTGGCGTTCTTGTCGTTTGGCTCGGTCGACAATTGGGACATCGTGCCAGCATTACGCCAAGCTGTGACCCGACACGTATTGGCCGAGGCGTACGTTAATCAGGTTGTCTTAGCCTTCGCGGCAACCCATCTCGCATCCGTCTACTCCCTGGCGTTCGGAAATGGCTCGGCTCCGCACGTTTTGACAGCATTGAAGTATAAGGCCTCGACCCTGGAGCTCTTCCGGCCTGCACTCTCTTCGTCCCTGACGCCCTCGAGCTGCGAGTCCGGAATGGCGGCCGCAGGTCTGCTGGTGGCCTGCGAGTTTGCACTGCTGGTGATGGACACGGGCGTCTTCGGTGTGGAGAATCAAGTTGAAGCGCTGTCGAGGATCGCCAATCTCTTTCAGGGGGTGGTTGCTCTCTTTCGAATGGGATGCAGGGGCCTTCGCGTCGGAGAAGGCAGCCCGGCGCTGCAAATTCGGAAGACGGTCTTCACGTCCCTCACCAACGAGCTACCGTGGTTCGACGCTGAGGAATCGGTCGAAAATGTTCTACTGGTTGTCCGCAGTCTGGATCATGCTGAGGTCATAAGGCGCGACATACTGTTGCAGGCCGGAGAGAAGTTGCAGGTCGCACTTCGAAGGGTAGCTGCCGCGCGAGGGTCATACAATGTCGCGTGTATGTGGCTGGGCATGGTTCCATCCCCGTATATTGAGCTCGTGACAGCGAAAGACCCTCTGGCTTTGGTGCTGATGGCCCATTGGGCTGTCTGCTTGAAAGGCATCGATACAGAGCGTGCTTGGTGGCTTCGAGGATGGCCTGAGATGATCATTAAGACAGTCGTGAACAGAATCGGGGAGGCCTACCACAGCCTCTTGGTATGGCCTCTGCAAGAAATCGAGAAAATTCAGGCATTTTGGGGACCTTGCCACGATGCGACAGTGAAAGAGGACCTCGTAGATGTCGAGATGGAGGAATGGAGCCGGCAGGTTGTGACGGTCGACGGTTGATGGTGTGGATGTAACCGGAGAAGATTGATGTTGAATTTAGGTAGTTTTTTTTTAGGTTTTTTTTTTTCTCAAGAAGCAATGACGATAGTTCCAACTTCCATTCGTCGAGGAAAGGGCTCCCTGGAGGGGCGTTCCTTCCGTCCAAACATCTCCGGGTGTTCACCGATATTGACCGACACTCACCGATCCCTCGAGGTCAGCATTCCACTTCACCGAGCCCCACCTGGGAATGGAATCGTGCCACCTCGACACGTCTCCCGCTCCCATCGGCCCATCGTACGACTCCCAGAATCGCCTGACCAGCCCCCAAAATATCCACCGTGCCCCGGAGTTCATGGCCATGAGACCTCACTATATATCTCACGCCAAACACAGTCGCTATCTCTAACCTGACGCTCTCCAGCGGAAATGTTCATCCGACCCATCCGGCGCTTCGTCCTCACCCTCATCTTCGGCATCATCGCAGCCATACTGGGCATGCTATACCACCGCCCACTAACAAACGCAATAAACATCTTCACACATCAAACATCGCACTTTTCATCCACATTCAGAATGGCATCTCACAAGCCCGTCATCGTCGTCGGATCCGGCCTAGCCGGTCTGTCTGCCGCCCACGAGGCTCTCAAGGCCGGCGCCTCCGTGCAGATGCTCGACCGCGCGCCCAAGCCAGGCGGCAACAGCATGAAAGCATCGTCCGGTATCAACGGCGCAGGGACGCGGTTCCAGAAGGCCCTTGGTTTGAGGAAGGATGACCTTTTCTATGAAGACACGATCAAGTCTGGCGGCGTGCGATTCAAGGAGGCCAAAGGAGTCGTTGATCGGCCGAGGCTTGTTGATTTATTGACAAAGAGCTCCGGGGGGGCAGTGGATTGGCTAGTTGACGACATCGGTGTCGACTTGAGTGTTGTTGCGCCTTTGGGAGGACACTCCATGGCAAGAACGCACCGCGGGGCGGGCAAGACGCCTCCTGGAGCGGCCATCGTGACGACTTTGTTGAAGAAGCTTGGCGAGAACCCCGAGTTTCAACTCAAGAACTCTGCCGAGGTCACGTCACTAAAGGTCGTAGACGGAGTCGTCCAGGGCGTCCAGTATACCCAGGACGGAGAGCAACATGACCTCGAAGGAGCCGTCGTCTTCGCCGTCGGAGGTTTCGCGGGTGACGCAAACGGTCTCTTGGCCAAGTACCGTCCAGACCTTGCGGGTCTCCCATCAACAAACGAGGCCCGGCCTGCTTCGCACGGCATCCTCGAGGCCGTCGGCGCAGAGTTTGTCGACATGGATAGCGTACAAATACACCCCACTGGCTTCGTCGACCCCAAGGACCCGGAGGCGCAGTACAAGTTCCTCGCAGCCGAGGTCCTCCGCGGCGAAGGCGGCATTCTTCTGTCAAACAAGGGCGAGAGATTCGTCAACGAGATGGAGACGAGAGAGCATGTCAGCAAGGCCATCATGGCGGTGCCACCAAAGGAGAACAGCGAGACGAGGCAGTGGGACGTGACTCTGCTTATGGACCCTGGTGCGATTGAGGTAGCCGAGGGACATCTGGGCTTCTACCTCTGGAAGGGCTTGATGGAGAAGAAGAAGGTCAAAGATCTTAGCCCGGAAGTTATCAAGGCTGTTGACGAGTACTCGGCCCTGGTAGCCTCCGGAACGGACACGGCGTTCGGCCGGCGGACGTTCGGTCGGTGGAGGCTGAAAGCCGGGGAGGGCAACCGCGAAAAAGAAGTTTGCGTCGGCCGGGTCACGCCGATTACCCACTTCACCATGGGCGGTGCCTCATTCAACCTCAAAGCCCAGGTGCTGCGCGAGAACAACACTGCCATCGAAGGTCTTTGGGCAGCAGGTGAGATCACTGGTGGTATCCACGGCGACAACAGGCTTGGAGGATCATCACTGCTGGAGTGCGTGGTTTTTGGAAGGATAGCAGGCCAACAGGCGGCCAAGTCGGCATTGAGCTCGTGATTTAGGATACACGTGTAGAAATCCATGTGTACATGCTTTTGATAACCAAAACACGATCATTCCATCATACATGTAGCTCTTCCGGCATCATCAAGTTTCTGGGCAGGCCTCGTGGTCTCAATGAGCTTATCTCTTATGGTATGTTCACACTCATCTGTACGTTTCTCAAACACATATTGAAATCTAATGTACATAGAAATGGTTGAAAAATAATCACAGGCCGGACCCTTCCCGAGACCCCAAGCCGGCTACCGCCTCATCCAGCACCAGACGCTCCCGCCCTTGACCAGGAAATTACTCCAGCGCCACAAGTGAAAGGCTTCTTCTAAACTCCAAATACACTACCACACTTCATCTACAGAAGGGTAGTCTTGGAGAGCGCGTGACGGAGGTTGAACTTCTTGTTCACCTGCCTCGCAATCACCCTGCTGCCGTTCACAGCCTTGGCCGTGCCGTTGCTAGCAAACCCGTTGTTCGCGAGCTTGTTTACAGTCGTGCGGGGGACCTGTCCAATCGCGCCGTCCAGCGCGGTCTCGGCAATGTAGCTGCACAGCTCGACGGGGCTTGTGGGCGCGGAGCCGAGGCCGAGGAAGTACGCGGCCAAGCCAGCAATGTGGGGGGAGGCCATGGAGGTACCGGAGATGGTCCTGGTGCGGCCGTTGGGCCAGGTGCTCAGGATGTCGGTGCCGGGCGCGAGGATGTCCACGGAGGCGCCAAAGTTGGAGTACTCGGCGAGGGTGTCGGTCTCGGTGGTCGCGCCGACGGTGCAGACGCTCTCCTCGGAGCCGGGGGATGAGGTGCTCGCGTCGGCGGCCTCGTTGCCGGCGGCGGCGGCGAGGAAGTGGCCGGCCTTGACGATGGCGGCGGCGGCCTGGTTGACGGCGTTGGAGGACTGGCCGCCGAGAGACATGTTCACGACGACGCCCTTCTCGCAGCCCTGCTGGCCCGCGGCATCGGCGGCAACGAAGTCCATGCCGGCGATGACGGCGGAGTTGGTGCCCTCGCCGTTTTGGTCGAGGACCTTGACGGCGAAGAGCTTGGTCTTCTTAGCGACGCCGTAGGTGCGGGAGCCGATGGTGCCGGCGACGTGGGTGCCGTGGCCCTGACCATCGGAGTCGTCGTTGTCGGCGTAGTTTGCGAGGAAGGTAGCGCGGCCCTCGAACTCCTGGTTTCATTGGTTAGCCCGAGGTTCATCGACATGGCATATGTTCGAGTTGGGTACGTACGGGGTGCTCGACATCGATGCCGGTGTCAATAATGTAAGCGCAAGTACCCTCACCAGCGCTGTCGTCGTAGCTGTACGTCGTTCCACCAGGCGAAGAGCTCGAGAGTCTGGCAATTCCCCACGGAGCGTTGGTCTGGGTGGCGCTGATCGACATGATGGCATCCTGCTCGATGAAGTCGATGCTGGGGTCGTTCTGCAGAGTCTCAATCTCAGACGCGTTCAGCGTCGACGCGAACCCGCGGAGGTTGTTGGCGAAGTTGTAAACGTGGTCGGCCTCGGCGGCGAAGGCCGACATGGCAGTCGCCATCGCACCGGCCTCGGCCTCGGGCTTGAGGCGGACGATGTACTTGTCGGCAACGAGCTTGACGTTCATGCCTCGGGGCTTGATGAGGGGCGCGGGCTGGGCACGGCGGGCGGACGGGGCCGCGAGGGCCGTCAGGGGGAGGAGGGCGAGGATCGTTGGGAAGTGCATCTTGGCGCTTAGTCAAAATCCACACAGCACACACACGGAAAAAGCAAAAGAAGGACTTGGAATAAAGAGTGGAAGAGAGGGAAAGGAATGAGATTTCAGATCAAGATCGTAGAGAGCGGAAAGTCTGTTGAAAAAGAATGTGAGATGTGCGCTGGTTGAATGTTTGGCCTTTGTGGTTCGATGGGTGTCGAAGCCTGGGTGGTTCCATCAACGTCCTCAACATGCGGCAGACCGTCAGAGTCTTATACTCCTGCATGATCATGCATCTAGCCAAGCGAACATCAGAGCGTCCCAGAGCCAGTTCTTTTCTTAGTGTGTCGTGGATTCCCACGGTTCCCCTTTCGGTCCATCATCAAACCCGCTGTTTGTCCAAGTCTGGCAGGTGGGCAGATCAAGATTTCGCTGACGGCTCGCGGCTCCGCGTCTCCTGTTGGACGGAGATGGGGTCATGGATTAAACCGCGGGCCCCGCTGCTGGAGCCGATGTTTGAATTAAAGGAAACCAAGGCCAGAACTACCGGGGACCAACCACGGCCGCCGAGAGAGCCTCAAGTCGAGACAGCCACCCGTTCGACGGGCTGCCAGCTGCAGCTTGCTTGCGCTGCCGCTGGGCGGGATCCATGCACTGTTGCGTTGGCCCCGTTGAAAGTGATGTGTTGTGGTGGGTGAAAAGAGGGTTGGAGGGCTCCGCTTCCATGTCGATCACCGCGCCGGGGGTCTTCGGGCTGCCACCTCCTTGACACGGCAGTGCTTTTTTGCGGATCAGGGCACCACAATCAAATGTTGAGAGAAAGGAGAACGAACAATCGAGAGCGAATGGTGGCTGGAGGGAACAATGTTTGTCTCGCTCGTTGACAGCCAACAGAGCTGCCGCTGCTGCGCCTTTGCCCAGCAAAGCTCAGTCTCAAACCCCTTCACCGTGCAGGCAAACCGCCCAATGGGAAACATTCAACGACGGTATATCCATTCAGAATTAAGCATGAGCCAGCGGGTCGCACACGCTGGGACGAACCAATCCGGATATGGGATGGCATCCATGAGATCCAAGAATGGCTCGTTTCAGGGGTTTTGACGCAGCTGATTCGCCACGCTGGAAACGCCGCCAAGGAATTGACCCGATATGCGATCAACATGTCTCACTTCTCCGTCTGGCCAACCAACGTTGCTTATTGGCAAAAACCAGTCGTTCTGAGGGGACGGAAAGAAAGCATGATGGTCTATCTGCTGGTGGGGTTTCGGAGAGAGGCTCGCTCGCCTGCCGGGATCCTGTGTGCCCTGATTGCTCCAGTATTCTGGGCAACCGTTATTGCGATTTTCTCAACTGCTGTGGGGGTCGAAAAGGGCCTCCCTATTTCGGAGTTTCGCTGGAACGACGGGGATCATGTGCATTTCACATGTGGCCAATAGAGGGTTAATGCTTGCACTGAAACCATGACAGAATTACTTGGACGAGCTGAGAGATAGACTCCTCAGAGACACAGTGTCGCAGTTTACGACGTGATGCGATTTTCGGCCGGTCGGAACTTTTGTTATCTCAAGCAACTACCCTGCAACCTTGTTTGCGATCAACGCGGCGTTCCGGATCTTCATTCGTAAGGTTGGGAAATAAGCTTAGCACAGCGCGTGTGCGCGATAATGTTTTGACGGGAAGGAACAGAGACGACTGACTCGGTGTTACACCAGCTCATGCGGGCTGCCGCCGCCGAAGGGGCTTGGGAGTTGCCAAGAGAGGGGGATACGAATCTTGATTGATCGCATCTCAGACATCAAACGGGGAGGCTTGACGGCAAATTTCTGCAAGACAGGGACGAACCGGTATTGGAAGGTGTGCTGGATTGGTGAAACCAGCGCGCCACATGATGGAACATTCCGTCGGTGAGGAAACATCGTCATTTGAGCAGGAGGTTATCGCGTTTCTCGAATATTGTCTTGGTAACACAGACAAGATCCTGGTGTTCCCTAGAAACGCTTTGATATGCCAGGGCAGCATATGATAGAACGGAGATGATGACTGGACGCAAAGTGTGTGCATCGGTAGTCTGAAAGATGTCTTAGACAGTCAGGTCTGGTGGCAATACCTTCCATTCGGCTGTGAGCTTGAGGTCATTGTTTTCTCTCACAGTGATGCATCCACGATATCCTCGCCGATAGATAATCATTGTCTTCATACCACAAGCTTGAGTTCTGTTTCCGATACAAGGCACATGGAAATCACTCGGCGCTCGGCGACGTAATCACAAGAAACTTCAGTAGCTACAGTCACAATGTCTTGAGAAACGGATCTAGCTTAGGTCTCCGTCGCTACCCATGTCTACATAGATTCAAACGATCCTGGTTAGTGGTAACGTTCATGTCAACCACTGTTCAAGTGTATTTGCGCACCGTGATTTGGATGCGGAGGACTCCGGAACGGCTGTTCGTCTGTTGTTAGGCTGGGTCAGTGCTTGCCAAGGATCGTCACACGGCAATTCCACATTGCAATCAAATCAGTTGTAGCTATTATGATGCCAAAAAACGCACGTAGAGGCGGTGGGCTTTCAGAGGACACCGCTTATACGACGCCGACAATTGCTACGTGAAGAGGAAATAAGAAGTAATTAGAAACACGGTGGATTAATCATATATTCAGCCATACCAAGCACGTTTGTGGAATAATGGAGAGAATCCTATGTAGTTGTTGTGTTATTAGTGTTGAAATCGGGTAAATTGGGTTTAAATGTACTGAACACAAGTGGTGCCTGTTTCATTAGTAGTGAGAATAATTCTACTTCTGCTGGCTATCAGGCTATAACAACTCGAATAAAGTCACCGTTGACTATGCCAACCTGCTGTTCAGATACGGCCGGATCACCTACCGCTGAGGTCGCGCAATCCGGGATGCTCTCATTCGTTGATCCTAGAAATAGCGAATTGCTCCCTACACTGAATCCTAGGATGAACCGGTGGGATGAGACTGTTCCTAGGGCTCAATGTGTACTATCCACAGCTAGTCCGCCGTTCTTACAATCAGGAATACATTAACGGGTATGGGATAACCTATTGGGCAGTACTCGTTGATGACCTCTATTTCCTAGAGTTCCGGGCATGGCAGGACCTCAGCTTCCCCAACACTCAGTACTTTACGATCTTACTTTGCTTGCCATAGTAGTATGCGATGATTTTGTTCGTTAGCATGGCTATGTGGCGCATTACATGAAAGAGAACTGCAGCCTTAATGGTCTAGAAAAGGGCTCGTCTTTGAGGCACTAGACATGATGTCCAATAAATACAATGAAGTTATGACCGCGCTGACGAGACCGCGTAGATTTAGAGTTCTCAGATAGTTCAATCATTGCCAGCCTGATTGCTTGGTATTGTGCCGTCTTCAGGATGCGAAACTGCTCACAGGCCTCATAATGCCCAGGGTGGGGGTTTCAGCAACCGCTGTCATCCGTTTCTCCCTCAGAATGTCGCCGGCGGAAAGTATAAATTCCAGCTACCTATGTCAACCAAGTGCCAAAACATTCATTGGTTGTTATACTTTAAGTCCCGCCTCACATCTCATCTTGAGTTCTTCACCAACGTTTCAGTGCTGGACACATTTAAGAATTGGCCCGCAAGAATTCCCAGTCGATCGTTACTTTCGCCAACACTCTCTCTTACCCGACGAAGATGGAAAAGCTTGAAGACGCGGGGGCGATCCACGTTGCTTTCAAAGAGCCGCTCGACAGGATACGAGGATGGTTTTCCGGAGCCTGGTCTCTCAAATCGAATTACAGCTTACTCGAAGGCGACGACATGTACTCCCCGACCGAACTGCCGCTTGACGAAACGGAGAGATCACCGTCCCTCTCGAGAGCCTCAATCGGATGGCGGCCCGTCAGCCCACAGCGCCTGTTTTGGTTGGCGGTACCATCGTATGTCGCTCGCGCGTTTGGCCGCGGCACGGCAGACTCGACTATCCCGGCCCCGAACAGCACATCGTATTTGAATGGTCTTCGCGGCATCGCATCGCTCATTGTTGTACTGCAGCATACTATAGACGGAGATGTAAGTCACTTGGAGCGCCGTTGCTTTTGTTGGGCCAGGCACCGACGATCGCCATGGGTGTGAACAACTGATTCTCGAAAGTCGACTTACAATTGAGTTCAACAGTACTCGATCGTTCATCATGCCTGGGGCGAGGACGATGAAAATCGCTATTTTATCCAGCTGCCGTTCGTTCGCCTCATACATAGCGGAGTATTTATGGTATCGGTCTTCTTCGTCATCAGCGGATTTGCTCTCACATACGGGCCCCTAAAAAAGTCCCATGCGGGACAAGGCGCCACTGCTGTCACTTCTTTCCCGTCTAGCATCTTTCGCCGTCCGTTCCGGCTCTTTCTCCCTACCATACCTATCATCGCGATCTCGACTGCCTTGATTCCTTTCAACGGATTTTACGCTCTCAACAGCTTCGAGCCTATGGAGCCTGTCGCTCTCGGTCTTTGGGGCCATATGCACTACATGTGGTGGACATTAATAACTATCATCACCTCCGGCTCAGCCAACACAGTCATGCCTCAGGGTTGGACTTTGGCGGCCGAGTATCAAGGATCATTACTTGTGTTTCTATCCTGTCTGGCCTTCCTAAAAATGGCGCCCATCGTACGGATGTCATTTACCGTCCTACTCCTGAACTACTTCTTCTACCTACGAAACTCGTACTCCTGCCTCTTTCTCGCAGGCATGCTCATCGCCGACTTTCGACATTTGCGGGCAAAGATGCCAGGCTTACCGATAATGGCACGCAAGATCACTACCGTCACATCATGGCTGCTGCTTGTGCCTATTATCTTTTTGGGCTGCTGGCCGATGCATGGTAACGCTTTCGCAGCACCTGGATATTCGTGGTTTATCGAGTTCGACACGTATGGCTTCGGACCCCAAACCTTCTTCCAAGCTACATGTGCTGTGGCTTTGGTGGTAGTGTTGGAAAACCTGCCTCCTTTACAGCGTCTTCTTAATACCAAACTGGTGTTATATCTGGGAGAGATCAGTTACAGTCTCTATCTGGTTCATTGGGGCTGTGGCAAGAACTTTCTTACTTACGGCCTCAAACTCGAGATGATAGAAGCCGGGTATAGCCTGATCGCGTCATGGGGTTCACTTTTTGTTATTTCAATGGTGTTATGTTTTTGGCTAGGGGATGTCCATTGGCGCCTGGTTGACCAGAAAACAGTGCGATTCTCACATTGGCTGAGCAGGATTCTTGGCATATAGCGAGCGATGTTTGCGAGACATTGGCCTCCTGAAATCCCTAATAGATATCAACTATACCCGAGCTAGATCATGGAAAAGGCTTCTCAGCCCCTTACGAGACAGCAAATTGTGCAATAGCGGAATGAGGCTGTGTTCTCATGTTCCCGCCTACTCACCCTACGCCTAAGCTCATCCCATGCATCATTATAGTAGCTGGAAAGCAACAAAGTTTAGAACGAGGAGCCGAGAAACCTAGTAGCATCTCAACATAGACAAGCCGGCACAATTTGCCAAAATGGCTTGAAGTACGTCGACACACTGGGACTTGCAGTCGGTAAACTGGGCAAGCGGCACTCCACGCTCCCCCACACGGAGTAGTCCGGTGGCGTGGCATGGGACTCCGAGCCAAGAATATAACTGCCGAAAGGGACCTGTCAAGGACATTAGCCTGAATACAACTCAACCCGTGCAAGTCATTAAAAGTCTGAGGTTCCGAGTGTGTGATAATGTCGGCCGAACTACAGCGGTAAACGGGGGATTAGGAGACGAATTGATCACCAACCCGCAAACCTCGCGTCGAAATAAGCCGACAGGCTTATTCTCACTGATCAGGAATTTCGCGAGAGATTTTGTCAAGACATGCATGAAGCCTCTCGAAAGACAGTTCCATTTGCGGCACATAAATAGATATAACAACAAACAGTGTAATTACAAGAAGATTATCTCATGGCTTAGCCACGTTCTCTCGCTTGCTACGATCAATCATGGCGGTCTCGATCTCCAAAGTCTCTTTTGAACACCATCCCATCGCACTTGGAATTGGTGAAGAGAAGCCACGTATCTCCTGGCGCTTCGATGGCCTAGAGCAAAACTGGACTCAGAATGCGTACCAGATCGAGGTCCAACGCCAGGGTTCATCCAGCATTCACGGCTTCGAGTCCTCTGACTCTCTCTTTGTGCCGTGGCCACAGCCGCCCCTCGCATCAGCCGAAAGGGCTGGTGTTCGAGTGCAAGCCTTCGGTGGTGTAGGAAATTCGTCAACTCCGTGGTCTGATTGGGTTACCGTCGAAACCGGCCTCTTGACCCAGAAAGATTGGTCTAGCGCGGTTCCCATCGCTGCCGATCGAGAAACTGAGGTCGACGGACCCAAGAGACCAATCTACTTTCGAAAGTCATTCAGTCTCAGTAACGCAACTAGATCCAAGATCAAGTCCGCGCGACTCTACATCACCGCTCTTGGTCTTTACGAAGCTGAAATCAACGGAAGGCGCGTTGGTGATCATGTCATGGCACCGGGATGGACTTCGTACAACTTCCGCCACGTCTACAACACCTACGATGTGACCGACCTACTGAAGCCAGGCCAGAATGGCATCGGTGTACTGGTTGGCGAAGGCTGGTTCTCTGGCATTCTGACCGCTGCGGGGAACTACCGCAACAACTATGGCGATACTCTAGGCGTCCTATCTCTGCTTACCGTAACGCTTGCCGACGGGACCAATATCAAAGTGGCCACCGATGATAGCTGGCAGGCTAACGAAGGGCCTCTGACCAGTTCAGAGATTTACAACGGTGAGATCTATGACGCGCGGCTTGAGGGCAAGATCCGCGGCTGGTCAACTGGACAGTTCAATGGCAGCAACTGGCTGGCAACGAAGGAACTCTCTCCTTTGAAGGGCAAGCTTATGCCTTTGGATGGACCACCAATCAGAAAGGTGCAGAACATCTCTCCCAAGCAGGTATTTTCGTCACCGTCTGGGAAGACGTTGGTGGATTTTGGACAGAACCTGGCAGGATGGGTCAAGCTGTCAATCAAAGGACCCGCATTCTCGGAGAAGACCAACATCACCCTCCACCACGCCGAAGTCTTGGAAAACGGTGAGCTCGCCCTTCGACCGCTTAGACGCGCCAAAGCTACCGATACTCTGATTCTTGACGGCAATGTCAATCAGACCCGGATCTGGGAGCCTCGATTTACGTATCATGGCTTCAGATACGTTCAAGTAGATGGATGGCCCGCAGAAGTTCCTCTTGGTGAACACACCATCCAGGCAGTTGTCGTTCACAGCGACATGGAGCGCACGGGCTGGTTCGAGTGCTCTGATGGGCTATTGAATCAGTTCCACGAGAACGTCGTCTGGTCCACCAAGGGGAATTTCTTCGGCATTCCGACCGATTGTCCCCAAAGAGACGAGCGTCTCGGCTGGACTGGTGATGCTCATGCCTTTGCACCAACAGCCAACTACCTCTTCGACACTTCCGGCTTCTGGAGAGGGTGGCACCGAGACATCTGGTCTGAGATGCAGAGACAGGACACCATGTACGTCCCATTTTTCGTCCCGGTTATTCCACCGGAGATAGACACCAAAGCGTGGAATCCTTCGAGGCCCTCAGCGTTGTGGGGCGATGTTGCCGTTGCTGGGCCTTTCAACCTCTACCAAGCATACGGCGACCTCGGAATGCTGCGAGAGCAATACAACCAATCCCAAGCATGGATGGATAAGGGAATTCCTCGAGACTCTCAAGGACTCTGGGCAAAAAACTCTTACCAATTCGGAGACTGGCTGGATCCCAAGGCCCCAGCCAGCAATCCCGAGAGAGCGACTACCAACAAGTATTTGGTAGCGGACGCATACTTGATCAGAATGACGGAGCTGATAAGCATTATATCGACGGCATTGGGACTCGACAATAAGGCTGAGGCATACAAGACACAACGCCTGGAGCTCATCGAAAGCTTTCGGGAGACTTGGATGTCGAATGGCACAATGCCCAATCGGACGCAGACTGCGTACGCGCTTGGTCTCGACTTCGGAATCTTCAATGAAGAACAGCACAACAGTGCCGTCAGCACTTTGAAGAGCCTAGTCGCCGAGAATAACTATCTTGTGGGGACAGGCTTTGCGGGGACTTCATCCTTAGGCCCAGCCTTATCAAGGAATGGAGCAATTGAAGACTTTTACCGCATGTTACTGCAAACCCAGGTGCCATCTTGGCTCTACCAAGTCGTCATGAACGGAACAACGACATGGGAGCGATGGGACAGTATGCTGGCTGACGGATCAGTCAACCCCGGAGCTATGACCAGTTTCAATCATTACGCATTTGGTTCCGTATCTGACTGGATACATGAGAACATCGGGGGTGTGGCTCCTGCCGAACCCGGATGGAAAAAGATTCGAATTTCTCCGGTGCCTGGGGGGAACATAACAAGCGCCAGCTCAAGATTTATCAGCCCTTACGGTGCAGTATGTGTGATGTGGGAAATTGATGACAAGCGTGGTTTCCACATGGAAATCGAGGTTCCTCCAAACGTAAGAGCTGAAGTCACTTTGCCGGGGGGTAATTCGACTACTGAGGAGGTTGGATCCGGACGATACAAATTTTATAAGCCAGGTAGTTATTAGCTAACTTGAATATAAACTTTTATCCATACTCTGTTTTCCTTGAGGTCAAAACTTGCTCCATGTTAACAACGAAATTTGATGACCCAATCCTCTTCATCTTCCTCCTCCTCTTCCTCCTCAAAAATGGGTTCTGCTTTCCAAGGAAGATCATACCCAAGCCTTTGGAAATGCATGAGGGCCGCCTCGCCTCTCGTACAGGTTGCGCCTTCTTCCCGCCACGTCACACCTGGGATGGGAGGACCCCAAAACTGGCCCGGCCCCAGCCCCGCAGTCAGCACGCGCTCAAGATGGTCCGCGGAAAGCCTCAACATGAACAGAGCTCGGGCCAGGTCCGGGTGATTTTTGCATGCCTGCAAGATTTCTACCACGTGGCAGGGCATGGCAGGCTTGCGGAGCTCGTTGGCCACTGGTCCGATAACATCTTCGACGAACGGCCTGATGTCTTCTCTGAGATCGTGTAACACCCAGAATGCTTGAGCATGAAGAACAAAGAAAGGGAAGGACACTTGGTAGGCCTCATATTCCAGTGCGTTGGAAAGGTCGATGATCACGCTGGCAGGGTCCATGGCCTCGGGATGTACCGGCTTCCTGGCAGCTTTGCCGTTGGCCTTGGTTTTCTTTGGCTTTTCTGGCGTCTTCGAATTCTCCTCTGCAGGGAAGTGGAAACGCTCGGGGATGATCTCATAGACATCCTCAAGTCTCCAGGCACCTGGTCCCGTTCGTCCGTAGTCGGCGACGTATCTGTCATAGAACGCCATCCAAGTCGGGGTGTTGAGTTGGATCAAACGGTGGTATACATCTTGAAAGACCTTGGTCCGAGTTTTACCTCGTCGCTTGGAAGGATCCATGAAGCTCGTGGCCGACACGCCCAGCTGCATCATGAGACTTTTGGAATACTCTTTCATCTCTCTCGGGACTTTGCCCCCGATAAAGAATTGAGAGGGCCCGAGTAGAGCCATGGCTGCTTCTAGATCAGGCCAAGGCTGTTGAAGTTGCCCTTCAGCCTGCACAGCGTTATACAGATGCATGGCGCAGAGAATTGATCGGGAAACGTTCGCGGAATGAATGCCTGTGCGGTACATGGTGATCCGGTACGCGTAAAGAAGCAGGCCACATGCGATGGGATGTCTTTTCCAAAAGCCATGTTTCTCTGGTTTGGCCGCGCTTCCAAGCTTTTTCTTCTTCTGCAAAGCCAGCTTGGCCATGTAAATGGGATCCTCTTGTAGTTCTAAACAGCCTGTGGCCACTTCTCTCATCTCGTGATCATATTCGTCGAATTCTTCGAACACGTCCAAAGTAGTGAGCACCCGATAATACTCGCTGAACTGATCACACAACTTTTGCATGATATCTAGCATCTCGTCTTTCGGCTTGGAGATCTTTTTGCCGAGATAGTGGTGAATATCAAGCAGCACCTGTGACGCGAAGGCCAGGTAGAAGGGTATCTTCCCAGTTTGACGAGCTTCCCTTAGGCCGCGCAGTAGGTTGTCTTCGATGACATGTGGCCATTCTATCAACCCGGATGGATCTTTCTTTCCAAGATGGTCGTCAATGAATGCGAGATCCTCAAACACATGCTTGAGAATGTCGCGGTCGCGGTCGAACTTCGGGACCCCCTTCCGAGCCATGACATCCTCCATATTGTCGAGGTTAACAGGCTCAATGGGTTTCTTATTCGATTGCAACCCCGGTAGTACCTCGCTGAGGATACTGAGCGTGTTCAGAAAGCTCTCCCTGCCGCCAATGTAGAACAAGTCGTCCACGCTGTCATCAATTCTGAGGCCAAGCTCTGGTGCGTCGGTGTTTCCAGGCGTCAGAGACCAAGATACGATCAGGTCGCAAAGCATATAATGCTTATTCTTCAGCGCACCGTAGAAACCATTCTTTTGCGCCTCGAGTACCGGTAAAACGTCGTCAATCATATGACGTGCCAAGTCGAACCCGGTGTTGGAGGCAACTGCCACAGCCGTCAAGTCCGCATCGGACCCTTCGTTATAGTTTATCCACATGGCTTTGGTCGCACCCCGAACATTGATGAGATCCTTCCATAGGAGGTCCAGGATGAACAAGGCGTCCGTGTCAGACATAGTATCTTCGGCCTCGTAAACAACCTTCGGTTTTTCAATGTCGGGGGCGTCGAGGAAGTCCTGAGAGGGCTCATCCACGGACAAACCTTCGAATTTGTTGGAGAGATTTGTCTCGACAGACTTGGCTTCTGGAGTCATGAGCGGTCGAAGAACGTCGCGAACCTGCTCGAGAATGCCGATGAAATAATTGTGGCTCATGTCGGACTCTGGGTTTCGTTTGTTCTTGATGCCAGCTAGCTTCGAACTGAACTCCTTCCGCAGCCGGATGACCCGATTAATTGCAATTGCGAACACTCCGGGCACTTGAGCCTTTTCACTCTTCGAGGTGGATATGAATTGAGCCAGCGGGATGTACTCCGCAACGGCAACGGTGTATTTCTTCGGGCCACTTTGTTCACCACTGTCGGCGGCTTTCCCGGACTTCCTCGGCTTCTTCTTGCCCTTCGAATTCTTGCCGCCTTTGCTCTTCGACTGGCTGGTCGAGCTGGTCTGGGCAGAGACTGAGGCTTCACCCCCCGCGGCAACCTCGGAGAGCAGGTCCGCAGGATACCCACATGATTTTGCGGTTGTAGCCAGCCATGACGCGACGATGTTGGTGTCTCTTTTATACTGTTGGTAAACACTCTTCATTCCAACTGGAGGCATGGTGTGATATTGTCGGATCTCCCTCGCGGCGACAACGACTCTTGATCACGAAACACATTGCTGGAGGTATGGGATGAGGTTCGCGCCGCGCAAATTTAGGCGGGGTAGCGATTAACGTGATTTTCTCCACACACTATCAGCGGGTCTTGACCCCCGAGCCGCGGATAGAGACCAATAGTGTTCCGGAATTGGAAAAAAAACAATGTTAAGCTTGAACTTTCAATTCCTGTGCTCAAAAAGTGCGACCCTCTTCGACCCTCCTCCACGGATGTGGCGTGAAGCTAGAACGCAACCGGAATTGTGGTACCTGAGCGGGAGTGGCAGGGAGGACGACGAGAACGGAAACGACACAACCCCCACGCACTAGATGTGAAAACGGCAGAGGCAAGCAACCTCAGGTTCGACACCCCATCAGACAGTTATCGACATCAAAGTGGTAGTTCCAGAAAGTCTCGTTCCAGTCTAAATTTAAATGAGAGGAAGCATCAAAACTTTCATTGCTATTGCTGAGGTACTATTTACAACGTGAAAAGAAGGACTGTTGTTGTTTGTAAACGAGTGTCATGACATGAAGAATAGTTGCTGGGTGCCTCAGTAGAACAATAGTTGGTGTTTCTCTGTCCGACCGAGTGACCTTTAACCGGATGTTGACGTGCCGAGATGTGAAATTGGGCATTGACAGTCGGAGACAGCCATGACTGATTGTCTAGTAGGTGTAGCAGAAGATGTCGTTCTGAACCCACATGACATCTTCAACCGTGGGAACAGAGTCGACCCAGCCGTCAACCATAGACAAGACATCCGAGAGAGAACCCTCAACAGCGGAATCGTTCTGGTATCTGTTGCCGCTGTACTTAGTGAGTCTGCTGCTGTTGGCAGACTGCCACTCCCACCAAACTCGGTCAATGGCTCCGTGGTGCAGGAAGAAAACGGGATCTTGGTATTTTCAAATTAGTTGCAATCTTCTCCAAGTAGTCGATGATGGTTTACTCACCATTGGGGGAGTAGTTGTTGGCCATGTCTCCAGCTATGGCAGCATGTCCGCCTCTGTGGAGCCCGCTCTCAATGCCAGGGCGGAAGGCAGAGTATGAAGAATATTCGGGAGTGGTGTTGACTTCAGACGGCGAGTTGTATTGCTCAAGCACAGACATGTCGAACTCGCGTTGAAGGCAGTGATTGTCAGGGGTCGAGACATTGAAATCTACGAACGGTCCAGATGCAATGCAATGGGTCGACTCGTCTCCATCACCACCAAGCCCGGTATCGGTATCGAAGACGGGAGAGGAAGCGCCGTCGGCGTAGTCGAGAGACCAGTCCCAGTATGGGACGGTGCTGTCATAGTTGCAGTCATTCTGCAGAGCTTGCTCGTAGAGCCAAAGGAACCATCTGTGCCAGGGAAGGAATGACGAAACGAAGTGGACTGCTCAACTGGTTAGGCCCAACTCTCATGCAGAAAGGTCTTCACTCACTCTCAGAGTCCAGCTGTGTGTGGACGTTCGCAAAGTCATCGTAAAGACTGGCCGAGCCCGAGTCCGAGGACAGACGGGACGGTGTGTCTTTGAGACACTTGACAGCCTCAATGTAGGAGGACTTCTGGTCGTCGGAAAGGTCACGCCATTCAACACGAGTGGTTGGGTTAGAGCAGGACTGGCGCTTGATGGCCAGGCCGTTGGCAAGAGCCAGCAGAGATGAAAAGGCAGCAATGAACTTCATGTTGAGGAGTACTAAACGATTGACTCAAAGGCGGGTTGTAGTTGAGAACGAGTGATGGTGATGATGAAGTGTTGATAGTGGTGAAGATAATTTCCGGTTAAACGTCTAGCTGATGTCTTTTATAACGTCCTACACCTACTTCTCAGCTACCCCCACATTTCAGCTACCCTAAAATGCTTTATTAAAAATGCTTATTACTATTTTTAAACTTAAATAACTTTACTAATTTTTA